TTCCTCTCTCTCTAAAATCAATAAAGAAAAAAAAAAAAAGTTGAACTCAGAAACAGTAGAAAAAGAGAAGGGTGATTGCCAGGGCTGGGGATGGGAGAGAGGGAAAACCTTGGAATAGGGTACAAACTTATGATTATAAGAGAAATAAGGTCTGAGGCTGAAATTTGCTGAAAGTAGAACTTGTCACCAAAAAATGAAAACGTGTGAGGTGACAAGTGTGTTAATTCTATGGAGGGAGTCCTTTCACAGTGTATACGTACTTCAAGTCATCATGTTGTATATACCTTAGAATTATATGTGTCAATTACACCTCAAGCCGGAAAAAGGGCAGAAAAAGAAAGTGAGAAGCAGGTTCTAAAACCATGTGGACAAGGAAGTCGAACTGCAGAATTAAGACAATGGCCTTTGGAGGTGACCACCCGGGTTAATCTGTGTGCCTCACTTTCCTCATCTGTTAAATGAGTAACCACTTCCTCGGCCTCTGATGAAGATTCAGTGAGGTGAGCTCACTTGTCCTTGGCACATGCTAACACCCAACAAATGCTTGCTATTATTAATCATCTGTCACATAATTGGCATACAAATATTTTTTTTTCCCTAGGTGGTACAATTGTGAGTTTTAATTTTCTTCTCTGTACCTTGCCGTATTTTTCCAAATTGAGAATCAGAGGTGCACAATACTTTCATGGGATAAAAAAATATGTATCAGGAGAGAACATCTGGAAGCCCTTGGCCCAGTGCCTGGCACACAACAGTCCTTCCAGCCGCTTGCTGGAATGGCATCCCTGGCTGTCCTGGCCAGCTCCTGTCAATTAGTCCTTCACGTCCAAGACTGCCGGGAGCAGCCACCCGTCCCTCCTGTCGGCTTCCTCAGGGCACCGCCTCCCCCACATCCTCCCACTGCTATCAGCAGATTCCTCCCCAGCCCCCTCACTGGAACAATTTCACCTTAGTCACCCGCCCCGTGGCCACCACGCCACATGCTGAGTGAGGTCACATCCTCCGTCAGGGCCGGCTGATCAAATCTTATGTGATAATTCGAACAAAAACATTCTATGAAAGTTGGCAGCTTGTTCTCCACACAGTAAGTATTCTGATCTTTCAAAGAACGATTTCTGACTTTTACTCACGCACCATCACTCCAGTTAAGCGCCGTGTCCATTGCTGAAGCTCCCCCCACATCGGGTCGTTTCAGCAGGTTTTCCAAGTGGCAGGAGATTCCCGTAACTCACCTTGAGTCACAGCGAAGTTGAAAAGCAACATTTTTTAAAACTCAATTTTGCTTTAGACCTATTGGAATATTCAGCTTCACAAAAGTTGGTTTTGGGGACAAGAACCATATGATTTCACTCATGTGAAATATAAAACAAAAAGTAACAGACAGACAACTCACAGACACACACGCAGAATGGTGGTTACTAGAGGGAAAGAGGGCGAGGAGGAGGCAGGGGGTAGATATATGGTGACGAGACGAGACACTGGGTGATGAGCACATTCAATATACAGATGATGTATAATAAAACTGTACACCCGAAACTTACATGTTAACCAATGTTATCCCCAACATTAAGAAAAATCAGTTCGTTTTGGGAACAGAGACTAATGCAAGGACAGCAACTTCAAAACAGTGTGCCTTGCGTTTTATCATCATTGCACTTTTAATCCTCAGCCCTGAAGGCCAAACCATGGTAGGGTTCTGGTCTTGAGTATGAATATACTCAAACACTTTCTGAACACACCAAGAGCTCTGTGGTCAGGGCCACTGCTCCCCAGTTCTCGTTGACCCCCGGCCAGGACCTCGGGATCACCTGGGAACCTTGAAAAGCGCCGCCTCTCAGCTCCCACCCTGACCTATCGAGTCAAAACCCCGAGACCGGGGCGCAGGAATCTGAATTGTAACTAGTCCTCCCGGTGATTTGGATGCAGATGAAAGGTTTGAGAAAAACTTCCCTAGCAACGTGAGCCCAGTTGAAATCACTGAACTGTTTAAGTGTGAGAGGTCTGGCCAGCAAGTTCCCCTGGTCATGACCCTTGACTCCAAGCTTCATCTTGCTCAGGGGAGCCTGAAGCTGGTGATGCGACAACTTCACTGCTGCGCGAGAGTGAGGAGAAGACATCCTTGGTCATAACAACCCATGAACCTACGGCGGAGGGGAGGGTTTGAAGTGTCATCACTCAGGCTCAAGCTGACGACAGGGCAGCCATCTCGATGGAATTAAACAGTATGCTGAAATGAAGACCTGGATCCCTGACTCTGAGTGTTGGACAACTTTTGGGAAAGTTACAACCTTGGTGCGCCATTAGCAGAAGTGGTGTTTTTAAAACCCCTAGATAAACACTCCACAGCCTCGGAGCCCGCTGCTGCCTCCCGGTTGGGAAATCTTATAATAACCCATCAAAAATCCCATCTCTCAGCCACTGTGAGGGTTATTATAATTTGTCAAACACTTCCCTCTCACCTGGTAAATAACAGAACCTTAATAAAAGTTAATGATCATATTGCTGAAATATTCTGTCCTCATTTTAAGTGGTAGAAACATCTAGTTATGAAAAAGGTATCACAAAACCTGTAATACTATACCTTCAATGTTTACCCAATGAACTTCTATTCCATGGAAGAGCTACATGGGCAGAAACCTACTTTCACGGTATAAGTGAAGCCTGAGTGATCAAAAAAATTAAAAGTATGTATGAGAACTATATTGCAAAGAATGGAGGAAACAATTATTTGCATAAATTAAGTTATAAATTAGTGTACACAAACCTATCTGTACCTACACTGTTGCACCAGACTGGTACCTACGGGAATTGTGGAAGCTGTACATGCTTCAGATGAAGTGAACAGGGGCTTTGGATAGCTAGGAAAAATCACAGCCCACTCTGAGATTTGAAAGCACACAGACAGACTCACGGCACCCCTGTACCTGGTTCTACCTCCTGAGGCCATCCGGACGTTTCCCTGAGCCTTGCTTACTTAATTAAGGATAATGACAAGCATCTCACATTTTTATAAATGAAACTGCCTAGGATTGCTCTTGGCACATGCTGGTGATCAATGTCTAGCTGACTCTGAATTTACTGAACAGTATTTTGTAATCTGTGTTCAAGGCAAGAGGTGTACAAACATTTGGTTCACCTGGGTTTCCATAACCATGATTCCCACCTCTTGGGGGAGAGGAGTGGTAATTCGGTTACTTCCTAAATGCACAGCTCGAGAAGAAATCTCCCATGCATGGCCCCTCCGATCACAATCCTGCCTCACATACCCACGTCTGATCCGAAAGACCCTGCTAGGCAGGCGTGAGTTTTAGCGTTCTCACTTGATGAATGGGCAAACAACTGTCCAGGCAATTCTCCGAGACTCCAAACCCCCTGAGCAGAGGGACTAGCTCTAGAATGCCTCTTCCAGGACCCAACTGGGTCTCATCCCACAGCAAATCCTTGAGTTGATATGGTCTAGACCTAGACCCTCAGAAAACCCCAGCAGAGGAAGAATATCAGAAGCTTGGGAACCTATAAAGCATGAAGGGAGACCATGCACAACAACAACGGGAATGTTTAACTCAGAGTCCTTTCAAAAGTGCCCCCCTCTTCACAGGCACACGGCCGCCTGGCCAGAGACCACATTTCCCAGTCTGGGGAGGGGCTAAGTCCCTGCCAGTCGACTGGGAATGGGAGGGATGAACCAACAACTCCTAGTCCCTGAACTTCCACTGTCCCCACTGCTGCTGAAGTGGGGACAGCGAACAACCTTGGAGGCACAGAGCTGCTGCTGGCCTGGGTCTTCCATGGGAGACACAAACCTCTGTGGTCTCTAAGCCACTGTACAGTGGGGTCTGTTTCAGTAGCTCAACCTCTATCCTGCTATATGGAAGGGCGAAGTGAGGCAGGGAAGGGACAGAGAAGGTCAACACTGTGTTAATAAGCCACCAGAGCCTGTAGTACAGAAACCTGCTTCATTATCCAAGGAAAGGATGAGGGAAACCGGTTTCAGTAATTAGGGCTTTGCCATTCGCTTAATGAGAAGAGAAAATATTTAACAAACTCTGTACATAAACAAATATTATTTTGGCAAAAAGCAAATGTATAAAGAATAAGGTCTGGATAATAAAGGAAAAAATATTAAGACAAACTGCCAACAACTCACTGGATCATAAGAAAATTCCTAAGATGTTATTTTTAAACAGCTAGGAAACTTGGCTCAAAATTATTCCTCATTATTTTCTAAAACATAATCGTCAACAATAGGTATATAGAGCATGAGTCTTGCGGTCTTTTCAGAAGGAAACATGCATGGCAACCTATTAAAAGCCCAGGGTTAGATTTCATCTAATCAAATTAGTAAAAGCTTGTCTCAAAGACAAGACCAGACTAATGACGGAGCGGCTGGAGCTGCGGGGAGCCTCCAGGAGAGCAAGGCTAAGTGCTGGGTGTGGTTGGCTGAAGTACAGTAAATTAATACAATAGATCAAGGAAGTATTAATGGAGACAAAGCCAGCTGACAGCCCACCTTTCTTTCACAGGTTAATAAACTCTACGGCTTTGTGAACATCATCCATCTTAACAGGACGCCCAAGTCGCCTCCACTACGGGACCCGTGAAGCTTGTGAAGGGGGAGAACACAGATCCAAAAAGGCTGAGCCTCCCCGGAGAAAAGAATATTGTTTCCTGGTGAATCACCAAGAAAAAGCAGGGCTGTCACCTGTGACCTCACATTATAAGAGTACCCTAACAAAAAAATGGATTTTGACCAAGTCACTTTAGCTTCCCAAATAAAACTGTTACTAATATACCTTCAATTTACTCACAATTCCTAGTCTTGAGTTTCCAGTGACTCGGAAGTGTTGGTTAGGTTGTAGTGCAGCGGAGCCCGTGACCAAATACAGTTACAAAATCAGAAGTGCGTTTAATAACTGCCTCTACTGGACTTTGCTTATAAAACCCACATCGAGGATCCCAAAGCATCGATGAAAACAATTGAGAAGGAAAAGGAAAACCACTTATTGGTACTAAAGCCTTTACTGTAATAAACCAAATATATTTACAATTTATACAAATGTTTAACCTTCAACAAAAATACAAAAAAACATTTCACAAGATGCAAAACCAGGAAACAAGTTCATTGGAGACACCACTGCGCTACCAAGGACGGAACGTGAGGGAACCGCGAGGAACAGAGGCATCCGTGCAGGTCACACGAAGGAAGAACGGGCCCTGCGGCCAGCGGCTCTGCTCAGGCCTGGGCCCTCGGCCCGTCCACCGGCCTTGGTGCGCCACTTGGTCTAGTAGGTAGATGACCTTCTTGGTGGACTCGTCGCCTCCTCTTTATAGACTCAAAGTTGTTTTGTGTCAAGGTTTAAAAACAGGTTTTCTTGTTTTTTAAAGTTACAACTTTTCTATTTCTACAAATTCAAAACATTTGGCCCAATTCAACTATGAACATTAAATCACATCATGTTTTCAGTAGATGACTTCGTAGACCGTGGCCTTCTTGTCCCCTGAGCCAGTGACTATGTACTTATCATCCACAGAGATGTCACAGCTGAGCACAGACGAGGACTCTTTGGACTAGAAGAGAAAAAATTGAGGGCATGTTGATGTGGGACCGAGATACTCAGGGGCCTGCTCCCTCCAAGGCACCTTCCCTTCGGCTGTCCCTGGAACACGTGGTCACACTGTCATTCCGGTAAGAACAAGGACTTACCTGGAATATACTCGCTCCATAGGGGGTCCGCCAAGCATTGAGGAGATTATCTTTTCCAGTACTCACAAACCATTTACCTAGAATTACCAAAAGAAGATGTAGTTTAACAAGACAAAACCCCTACTATTCTATGAGCTCCATGGACCTAATCAAACTCAGAGCATTTTTAGTCAGGACGACCTTGTCCAAGGGCTGGGCTATTCCATGAGCAGAGACAGGTCTGAAACGAGGCTCTGCTGGGAACCACCTGTGATCTCAGGTTCACTCAAAGCAGCAGCAGGGACCACACCTGAGCCCTGAGCCACCACAGGTAACATCACACACAGCAGGTCCTCAAACAGGGGATCAGTGATGTTGTTCTCGTTAGTCTCCCCACGACCAAATGGGACTAGGAAGGGTCAGATGACAAGCCAGACAGGACACATGGCAGAGTGGGCAGCGGACAGTGACGGCTGCTCACACAGCAGCCTCAACCTCGTGAACGAACGTTCGAGTCCCTGCAGCCTCTTCCCTCTCCATCCTCACGGCAGTGGGCAGTCCGGCTCAGCTCAACATTCCAGGGTGGGTGCCTCACCCTGGTCAGGCCCTAACGGCTCTGCGGCTCCTGCCTGCCCCCCATCTGCAATAAATCTCCACTCTCCCCTCTTCAGAGTTGCAACTAATTGCACTCCACCCGACTCTCCCCATCCAAAACAAATGTGTTAAAACGTTGTATGAGGCAATTTCATCGCCTGCTGACTGTTCTCAAATGCGGAAAACAGACATCACTGTGCTCTGAGGAACATATTAAGACAGTGCAATTATTGCATCCAGCAGCTCAGAGAACAATTTTTTTCCAGCCAGGATCTTGACTGTATTTTTCAGAAGTCTTTCCACTGAGGCCATCAATGTCCTTGGGTTTCCCTTCAGCTGAACTCACCACAATAAGCAAACTTGAGTGACAGCACGCAGCTCTCGTGCAGGTGCAGCTGGTACTTGTCGGGCTTGGTGACGTGCAGCACCTCCACGTTGCTGCTCTCCATGCCCACGGCCAGCCACTCCCCGGTGGGGCAGTAGCCCAGGGAGAAGATCTACAAGAAGCAGAACAGGCTCACTGATGATTTGCCTAGTAAACTGAGGAAGGAAAAAAGCAACAAGAAAGGCGGAAAGTAACAAGAACAGGAGGATGAAATCAGCAAACCCCAGACTGTGGTCAAGTCCACAGGACAAGCAACTCAACCAGATGAGCCAAGCGTTAAAAATCTTTATGTGACAACTGGAAAAACCGGAACACTTATATGTGATGAAACTAAGAAATTATTCTTTTCTTTTGGTTAATCCTCACCTGAGGATATTTTGCCTTTGATTTTTCAGACAGAGTAGGAGGGAGAGGGAGGGCGGGAGGGAGGAGAAATATTGATGTGAGAGAGACACATCAACTGGTTGCTTCCTGCACGACTCTGACTGGGGCTGGGGATGGAACTTGCAACCCAGGTACATGCCCTTGACCAGAATCAAACCCATGACCCTTTGGTCAGAAGGCTGACTCTCTAACCGCTGAGCCAAGCAGGTCACGGCAAGAAATTATTCTTAATAATAATGATATTCATGTGTGTTGTTTAAAGAGATCCTTGTCTTTCACATACACTAACTGAAATATTTATGGCTAAAATGACAAGGTATGGGACTTACTATAAAATAATCTAGTGTCTGGGGGCAGGAATGACACAATGAACAGGATCGGTCATGCGTTACTGTTAAAGCTGGGTGAGGGGCCTGTACTCACATATATGTGCGAACATTTTCTGTACCCTTATACATATTTGAAAATTTCCATAAGAAGTTTTATAAAAAATGGCATACCAAAAACAGTATTCTACGCATACCGGAAAAGGGGCTAAAACAGGGAAGACTGTAAGAAATTCAACAAAATTTTAACAGGGACACAAAATTTAGTCGTATGTACAGTTGTTTCCTGTTTTTGTCCTATTTTTCTAAGTAAAATTATTTTTATTACAAAAACATTAGTAAACCAGTTCTGGAGAGAAGAACACTGGCATCAGCAAACACTTTTAAAGCGGCAGCCGTTCCCGAACACGCCTGGACTCAGATGCCTGCCATCCAGACAATCCTCACAACCCACAAAGTTGGGAGTTTTACATCATTTTAAAACTCCATAAATGTAGTCAGCCATGAGTCCATTTTCTGAAGGATGAGCAATAAAATGGGCATCCTCTGAGAGGCTGCAGCATGTTTTTATGTTCCCTGATGCAAGAAAAGTGAATTAACTCTCAGAGCTGTTGTGCTTCTCCTGACTCCCTGTGACGCCCCCCTGCTTCTCAAGCTGCTTGTGTGTGAATCAGGGAGGGTCTGCCCCCCACGGGAGAGGGGAGGGGGCAAAGCAGACCCGACAACGCTGGGGGACACTGCGTACCCCTGACTGCACAGATTCTGTGAACCACCTCGTAGATGAGCATGGCAACTGACAGGGTTGGTCTGCAGGGGTCAGACACCACTCTAAGAGTTTCAAGGTTTTTGTCTGTCTGTCCGTGGTCAAAAAAACAGAACAAAACAACTCAGTATCTCAAATGTACGCCTGGCCTGTTGTACCGCTGTTCTCCTGGGTGGGAGGGAGGAGTGCCACCGCGAGCATGCGCACACACCACCCCTCGGACCGGGCGGGAAGAAGTCAGGCACCTGTGAGGTGAAGTCGTGCTGCTGCAGCTGCCGCCCCTCACGCAGGTCCCAGGATCTGACCGTGTTGTCCAGGCCGCCCGTCCAGAGCTTGGTGCCATCGTTAGAAATGTCAATACAGCTGGCCCCGTCGGTGTGGCCCTGGAACTGCCTGATAAAACAAACCAGACTGAATAATGACTTCCTGCCAGAGCGCAAGGTAAACACCACCGTGGTGTTGGTTTTGGATGCAGGGTGTCATCTCTTCAGTGTCTGCTGATGCGCAAGATGAAACCAGCTTCCCTGGGAGGAGACAGCGCACCTGCAGGCTGGCTTTTCCTTCTTCATGGTCCAGGTGCTAAGGAAATGGAGTGCCGTTTGAGGTCACTACACAGGAGAAGTTAAATACGCTCTCATAGCTGCTCTTACAAATCCATATGGAAGGTGAAATTTCTCCCAGGTCTGGAAAAGTGTTTAAGTGTTAAAAGGAAACAAGAGAAACACATAAAATCCCAAACATATTCCGTGAAGAGAAATGAAGGCCTTAGGCCGGCATCACCACCTACAAGCTCGGGGTCCAGAAGCGCTCACGTCCCCGACCGACCAGCACGGCATTGCCCTCCGAGCCCACACAGCGTGAGTTCAGTCCTCGTCCCTGCTTCCTGTGTCAGAAGGAGCCCTGCGTTCGAAATCGGGACTCCCCGAGACAAAGGCCGTGCCCACCTCCTGAGTCAAAGGTGCTGAGCAGAGACAAAGCTAACTGCTGAGGCCGACCCACGGCACTCCAGCAAGGCCGCACCAGGTTGTTCTCCTACAGGGAAAGCTTCAGCCACAAAGCAACACCAAGACCAACCAACCCACAGGGATCTGCTGAGCACAGATTCTCTGCCAGCAACAGGTGGGCCTGCTGAGGGAGGGGATCAACGCAGGCCACCACAGGGCTGGCGGTTTGGGGGTCCTGGACCTGGTTCTGCACGCCAAGAAGAGTGACCAGGGCAGGTGAGAGATGTCCAATCAGTATGGTACAGGCAGACCCCATTAGAGAGCTGTTTGGGAAGTTCAACACCAAGAGGAAAGTTTCCATGCCTATCCTTCTCACCTTGTTATTCCCACAGATCTCCACACTTTCAAACTGAGCTTGGAATTTAGTGAGCATGGAAGAGAAGGAAAAAGCACCACTGTTGCCCTGAATTCTGAGACAAAATGTGAACCATCACTTCGAAAATCTTTCCTCCACAAGCCATTCTGAACTTCTGCCTCAGTCCTCTCCCCCACACACCCCAGTTCCCCCAAACTCTCACTGTGCACCGGCCCTCACGTGCCCGTGTGCCTCTGGACTTCCCCAGGGTCACACAGGCCCCGCGCAGGCAGACCCTGCTTCACCTGCTGCAAGTGCTGCTTTTCTTCCCTCCGAACGCTCTTGAATCCCAGCGACCTCTCTCGCCACTTCAGCCTGACTTCTTTTTACGGCGAGAACTCATGAAATGCTCACTCCTTGACTACATGATGTCTTTGCGGACTTACGGCGATCGGTGGGTGCTCCTCCGCCCCTCTGTCCACACATCTCTGCACTACTCCGAGGCTCGGACCAAGCAGGCCCTAGGGCTGTTTGGAATGGGCCAGGTCACAGCAGACACTAAGATATCCAGTAGAGTGTACCCCCCTGTCACAGAGTAGCTGCTGTCCACATGTGGCCCGTCCAAACTGAGAAAGAGATTCATAAAGCACCACCCCATCGTATCCGACGGGCACATGCAGGGGCTGCCACCGGGCAGGGGTTCAGAGCAGACAGAACAGAGTATCTGGACCCAGCTGTGTGACCCACAGGCCAATGTAGCCTCTCTGTGCCTCAGGCTCCTCGTCTAGAAAACCAGGGAACAGCAGTGCAGGCCCGAGGAGGAAAAGCACTGAGGACGGAACTGTGAGAGTGCTGTTCCTAAGTTTAAGAAAAGAAAAGAGGAAAAAGCCTGGACACTTGCTGGGGTGAGTTTGAAGCAGTTCTGTCGGTGAGTCCACTCTGCTCCTCCTGAGCTGCCCCGTGAGCGCCAAGAGGAAAACAGCCGCCACACCGCCACGTACGCACGGGGCAGAGCCTGGCTCACAGACACTCACTGGAGAGGGAGGGAGCTGCTGTGATGACTTCCACAGTCCATCTGTCCCTTCTCTCCAGCACGCAGGCCCAAAAGCATGGGGAGGAGGCCTGCTAAACAATCCATGAGCCTAAAGTCACACCACAGACAAACTGTGTTTCCGAGTGAAGATGAACTGTGAAACAAAAGGGCGAAAGACATGCTAGCCTTGCCTTGGATGTTTACTTAGAGCTTACATTTTCAAAGGCTTCTGCAACGCCTCTGGTGTGAGATGACTTGGGTAGAGGGAGTGAGCTGCGGGAGCCAAGGGGAGACACAAAGGTAGCCCGAGTTCAGCTCTCGCTACAGTGAGCAGAGCAGGGTCCAGGAAGCTGGGCTTGTTCCCGGGTGAACAACCCCTGGACGGAGCTTAGTTAGTTAGTTATCAAGAAACATGGATACTTGCCCTGGCCAGTTTGGCTCAGCGGTCAGAGTGTCAGCCCACGGACCAGAGAGTCCCAGGTTTGGTTCCCGCTAAGGGCACATACATCAGTTGCAATTTGTCCCCGGGCCTGGTTGGGGTCGTGTGGGTGGCAGCCACTCTATGTGTCTCTCTCACATCGTTGTTTCTCTCTCTCTCTCTTCCCCCCTCTCTCCCTCCTGCTTTATCTAAACATAAATGCAAAAATGTCCTCGGGTGAGGATAAAAAAAAAAAGAAAGAAAGAAACATGGATACTTGAAAACCATTGTGTGTGTTCTCTTCTCATGTGCTTTGTGTTGACTGTGTTATCCTTGATTAGTTGGCTCCTGCTGGCACAGAACTGGCTCTAGCCAAAGCCAGGACCGTCTTGCACTGAGGACCCTTCATACTGCAACCCATGATGTGCGGCCAGCTGGCGAAAGCCAGGAAGACTTTTCAACAAGTCTGGTATCTGTGTGTGCCTGAAGCATAGGAATGGGAACATGAGGGAGTTAAATATAAAGTCTGGGGGACACCGAGCACAGCATCAGGATGGTAGCCCTGCAAGGGAAGCCACACAATCCTATCTTTGTACTCCCAATACCCAGCTCCAAGCCTGGCACACAGTAGGATCTTAATATGTAGGCTGAGTTACTGGGGGCAGCTGGAGAAGCAAGGGTGACAGGAGACCTTCTGACACCCCCCCCCCCCGCCAACAGAAAACCACCTGTGCTCACCTCACCAGCGTCTGGTTGTGCAGGTCCCACACGGCGATGTTGCCATCGCTGCAGCAGGAGAAGCAGACCTTGGAGTCGGGGCTGATGGCCAGGGCGTAGCAGGCGGGGGCCGAGGACGTCAGCTCTGCCTTGATGCGTGGGGTCGGCGCAGCCAGGTCCCAAATGGACAGAGTGCTGGCTTCCCCTCCCACTATCAGAGTGCAGCCATCAGGGAGCAATTTGCAGGAACGGATGTAGTTATCTCTGTTCTGTAAAATAAACATAATTCAATTGCTGCAATGCATTACACCAAGCAGCAACAAGGCCATGTTCTCTAACTGCTGTCTTGTTTTTTACTTGAAAAATGGTATTTCACGGACACCAACAAAAAAGGTTCTGTAAAATCAGGATATGACTGTAGCTGTTTCCTTCGAAAGAGCAAACAAAACGAACTCACAGGACTGCACCTCATGTCCAGTTCTCTGCCGAGTAGACAGAACTGAAATTATCAGTAGATGTAAGGTACACATACACGTACTTCTCTATGAAGAAACCACTTTTCAAAAGTCGTTTATGTCTGGTCTCGTCATTTCCATTATTTACCAGTATTTGGAAACTGTAGGCCCCTGCCTATGTTTGGTTTCCTTACTCTTAACGGCACCTAAGGCTGGCACTGTGTCTTCATTAGCCAGATGGATCCCAGTCTAGGAACCGAACGGGGCTTCTTTCCCTGGAGCATGGCTGCTGTCAGCATCTACATCTCTCACTCCAAAGACCAAAGAAATTGAGAAAGGAGGGCATCTTTTCAAAATCAACACATCTTAGAAAGGGAGGTGGGACCTAAACTGACACCCCCCTCCTGAAAAAAAGAACTGCTTTCCTTCAGCCCAAATAGATACAGCTGAATTTACTATGCTTTGACCACAGCCTATGGCTCAGAGAGTAGAGAAATTTGAAGCACATAATTTCAAAAAAAGGTGGTAAATGTTACAAAAGACTTCTACTACTACAGAATGTAAGGCTATGTTTAAGATTCGCTTCATTACTGGAAATATTTTCAAGTTACTTCATTTAAAAAAATAAGCCAATAACTACCAAAAAAACACAAAACTCTCAGAAACACCGCACTGTCCTTCCTGGAAGCACTCGCTGACTGTCCGCAGACGCGAGCAGCAGTGAGTGGGGGGCACCACCTGCCATGGCAACGTGCAGACAGAAGCCACACCAGGCAGGGCGGCCTTTCGCCAGCCTCAGGCCGGTGGAATTCGGTCTGTAAATCCTGGGGTCACAGTTTAGGATCGGAACATGCCCGGCACGCTCTAGGATCCTGCAGAGTGCGCACTGGTGCCTCACACTCTGGGGAGGACTGCACTGGGCCCTTGGGAAGGCAGGGGGCTGCTCCAGGAGGCCTGATTTCTTGCAGTGTGATTTCTTAACCCTTTCCTGAAAGTAAGGTAGTAACACCCAGCCAGCTCCCCAGGCTTCCCTGAAAACACAGACCCTGTTCAGAACGGTTTTAATGCCACGTTATCGAATGTTTACTATTCCATATTTATCCGAAGGCTGCAGGGAAATTAAAAGTTGAGTGGGTTGCAGGGCTGAGTCCAGGGCTAGCTGAGCTTTCATCCACTGAATGGGAACCTCCTTCTGAATACACATTCAAACAAGGGCAGCTTCTATAAACGACTCGAAAATATTTTTTTTAAAGAAATCTATCATGGGATTAACCACTGAAAGAGCAACAAATGAAACCTTCACATTTAAGGGAGTGGGGTATGGGGGTGGGGGCTAAATAGCTAACACAGGAAATGGAATGGGCTTCCATTTCCTCATAATGGGAATGAAACCCAGACCCGGACAGCTATTTCCTTGTTGAGTCTCCAGGGAGAGATTACCCTTGTGCACGGGTTTCTGTTCCCTCACCAGACAGTCGAGCTGAGAGACGGGGCTCTTATTGCCGGGGTGGCTGATGTCCCAGACCTTGACGCAGCCCTTGCCGCCCGTGTACACGTGTCTCGTGGGGTTGCTGATGGTGACGGCGCACACCACCTCCCCGTGGTTCAGGGTGTTGATCTGCCGCGCGTGTCGGGGGATGCCGGGTCCGATGAGGGCGTCAGGGGGGAAGGGGACAGGCTGCATCTGCCCATCGGCCGTCACGTGGAAGGAGTAGGCACTTTTGAACAGGGAATGATTGGAGAGAAAAGAGGGCAGAAGAGGAAACAGAAAAACATTTATCATAAAGCAATTAGTCACGACCTTAGCACCCTTCTATAAGAAAGACCAAAAAAGGAAAGATTTGCTTGTTACTATTTCCTTTTAAAATCAATGTAAGTTGAAGTATTTACTGATGGAACACATTTAAAAGAGTAACAGAAATCTAAGGTGTACCAAAAAACACATATATTGAACTGTAATTAAATTTTTTAATTGTGTTTATCCATTTCATAAAGCATTCCTTCAAAACCCATTATAAAACACTAAATGTGCCTCCAAATTAACATAAAATAACTCCTTCTGTGTACTTATATAACAGTATCATTTCTTTGCATAATTTAAAATGATTATTTTTGGTGCCTATGACGAGTGTTTAAGAACTCATAATAATTACAAACACTAAACAGTGCATCTCAACACTAACAAACAAAAGCAGCTTTCTAGAGAAACCAGTTTAAGGCTTGAACCTCAGTTCTATGCGGTATAACCAAAAGAAAATAAAAGACTATCTTAGTTCAAATGGCTTTGGGCCAGAAATGCCATGTTTCCTCCTCACCTCCCAGCCTACCCTGGCCGTGAACTCCAGCAAAGATCCTGGCTGAAAATCTATTCTCCCCCCTTCCTTACAGGCAGGTGAATCCCTGATCTGACTAAAGAGATATAGGCAGAGGCTGCTGGGTGGTACTCAGAGAAGTTCTTAACCTCAGACAAAGGGAACCCTTTGGGGAATATGAGAACTACCTATACTTTCCATTCAATTTTGCTGTGAACCTAAAACTGCTCTAAGAAATGTTTATTAATTAACGAAACAAAAGAAAGAAAAATAACTTTAAAAGAGGAAGGGGATGTTCCTGCCCTCTTCTCTTCCTCTTTACTGCTGCTGGAAATACGAGCAAAATGACTGGAGCTCCAGCAGCCTTTTTGGGCCACAAGGAAACTGTGAATGAAGACGGAAATCAGCTGCTGAGGGAGGCAGAACAGAAAGGTAGGATGCAGAGGCCTTGGTAACGCTATGGGGGCGAGAAGTAAACTTCTGTTATTTAAGCTTTAGTTTTCTCCTCCTGTTAAATACTAACAAACCTAATCTTAGTGCACACTTGTTTCCACACCAAAACCTCAAAGCATGTTTTTTCTCTAGTGTCACAGTATTTAAACTCCCAGCACTAATACAGAACAGGTGCTATGAAATACACACAAAGAAAAGACACTTGAGAGAATGGAAGCACTAATATTCCCCTCACACCGAACTGGTGGGATAAAGCATGTGCTGCTGAAGGCCCCTCTCACTTCCTCCTTGTCGGCAGCTTCCTTCAGTGATCCAGAAGTTCAGCATTAAACCTTTTTCTATACGTTCACATATATAAACAATACATAAAATGTGCAGCGTTTCCTCCTTCCCATAACCCTCTGGGGTAAATCTAGATACTCACTGTCACCTTGCAGGCCCTTTACAGATCTAATGACCCTAATACAGAATTTAAATTTTCATTTTAATGCTAATTCAAACTTTGTAAAATAACTTAGCAAGCACAAAACTGAAAACTGGTACAAGCTATCAGGTCTCTACTAGACTGCACATAAAACCCACATACTTGCTTAGCTTGAAAATACAATGTATGCTATTATTTTCCCTCTATAAAAGCAAAATATCCAACACATGACTTTTAAAAGAACACCCCTGCCCTCCAACCAAAGGACACAAACAATCTTAGATATGTTATCTCCTGACAAATTGCTTGCAATAACTAATATTAAATGGCCATTAGGCCCAAATTCTTAGCGTTACTCTTAGTTTGAATAACTGTGCACACAACACGGGAACCACACAGACTGTCCTGGGAAATAAATATGCATAGAAAACAACTATAGCTCAAAGCCCTTTCGTCACCAAACCACTAAATCTCCTATTTTTCAATACAACAGTATACTTTGCTGTCCTTTGTAATGTACCAAGTCCACATGATAGTTTAATTCATGTACATTATACAGTTAACGGAACCTATGCCATTTGTTATATTTGAAATCAAATAGCATTTTATTGCCCTTGGAAGAAAACTAATACAAAATAATATTGAATGTAAACTGTGATAAAATGAAAACCATGATCGAATTGAATGCATTTTGGGAGAATGGTGGTTGACATGGGACAAGAACTTGCCTCTCCGAGTTCTCTGTGCTGTGAGAATAATGGTACACGTGAGGTTGGTTTCTCTGTTTGCCATAAATCAACTCCCACGTAGGTGTAATTTCTATCAGGAGTCCTTTTAGCAATTCTGGGTTTTAGGGGAAGGAAATGTTTTCTTGCTTCCACTGGAACCCTGCTTATTACAGAGTTAAATGTTCCAGAGCAACACGGATGCACCAGGCTCGGGCGGAGATCTGAGCTGTCGTCTCTGGAGACCAGCTCTCTCCCACGCGCCCTCCTCGTTGGCTGTGCAGGAGGTCTGCAGCCATCATACTGAGCAATTTAAAGTGGATTCACGGGGCACTGAACTGCTGCCAGAAGCCTGAACATTCCTTCGTCCCAGGGGAACCCGCATGGATCTTTTTTTTTTTTGCACTTATCTTCAGATAGAGCAGGAGGGAGAGAGGGAGGTAGAGGAGAGAGAGAGAGAGAGAGAGAGAGAAACGTCGATGTGAGAGAGACACATCGAGTGGCCGCCACCCACACAACCCCAACTGGGGCCGGGGACAAACTGCAACCGAGGTACGTGCTCTTAGCGGGAACCGAACCTGGGACCCTCCAGTCCGCGGGCTGACGCTCTAACTGCTGAGCCAAACAGGCCAGGGCCCCACATGGATCTTGATACGTCTGTCCCAGGGGGCCTTGCGGGGAGCTGGCACTGCCTGCTGAGCTGGGAGCCTAATCTAATGAACGAACCAGAACGACGCAAAGGGCGGAATGTCTCAGAAAGGGCGAACTGGAAGCAATAACCAGGGGAACAAACAAGATGGTTTGGAATCAGTTGTTCACCTACAGGAAGAACGCGACCGTCTTTGAGAAAGGGCCACATTGACGGCTACCATGACAATGTTCAAGAGATGCAGAAAGAAACTTACTTCTCTACTGACTGAGGAGCAAGGAAAGATAAGACCAACCAGGAAGGAAAAAGTACACTCAGAGTATATTTACGAATATCTCGCAAGCCCGAATTCAGAAAGAGGCCAATTACAACAGAATGCATATGATGTGACTGCATTTACAGAAGTTCAATGACAAGCACAGCCCAAAATTGGGTGGTGGTTGCCCTGGGCAACCAGAAGGGACACAGGCTGGCTTCTAGGTGCTTTTGGTGAAAAGTCACTGAGCTATACACGACTCATGCACTTTCCTATATGTCTATCTCAATAATTAAAATCTTAGATTCATTTTTTTATTCAAGCAAAAGTCAAGGGGAGGGCTCCTGACTGAACATGTTAGACTAGGTCCACAGCCAAGTCGAAAGCCCAGACTTTTTAAACGAACCTAAGATGCGAAGCCCTGACTCACTGGCCTATCGGTGGTCTTCCTCACTGACCTAACTACCTGCGGCCTATCACTGTCTGTTTGCTGACCCACAGGTAGAAAGAGTAATGAAATGCAAAGGCTAAAGGAGTTGTGGTTGGGATTTGGAGATAACAGCTGCAGAACACTGACCGGCAGGGGCCTTCAGGCAGGGACAGTGCCAACACTCCACACCCGTGCCTTTCGAGAGCAAAGAGGATATGCCGAAACAAGGCTCCTATCTGGACCAGCGGGCCAGCATGAGGGTCAGGGTGTGCGGAAAGGAGGAAGGTGTGGGGTGGGAGTCAGGAAAGCACAGGACCATGAACAGGCACGAGAAATCAGAAAATCCAATGGTAGTGAGGGTGGGGGGACGGCATTTGGCAGAGAGGAGAGGAGAGTTGGATAGGGTTGTGGCAACCTGCAGGGCAGAAAGAACAGTCCCGAGCCCTCATTAGGGCCACCCACCTATATCCAAGAAAGCGCCCAGAGACCCTGCCCAACACCCAGCCAGCTTTTTGAACCAAGCACCTGCAGATTAGGGTCTCAATGTGAAACCTGGCTGCATGAAAAGAATAAAAGCCCACTGGATATCACAGACTTAAACACTGAATGGAACCACACGCAGTCAGAACTTGAGACTCTTCATTTACTGGGCCCACAGCAGAGGGGAAGGAACTCGGAGTCCCCACCAAGATTCCTCGCAGCAGTGGTGGCAAACTGGAAAATCAGACTGCATTCCGGGAAGCAGGTTGTTTTTTCCTGGCAGGCTGGCTTCTGTTAATAAACTAGGCTGTGTTCTGTGGCCAAAGGAAAACAGGTGTTTACAGAGTTACTAGTCTGCTGTAAACAGACAGGAATAGCAGCAGCAGAATCCAGTAACCAGTAATGAAGAGCCACAGACCCCGGAGACAATGGCTGTGGCCAAGACCCTGCTGCCTATGGACTTGGCACGCTTGACGTGGGACTTCTTGCTGTATTAACAGGTATCAAAAATGTGATGTCAGAGACCCTCACTTGCTTGTGAAGCTCTTCAGGGACCAAGCCTTTCACAATTCAGCCTCTTTCATGCACCCGTCCTGTATCCAAAACTCCCAGCCACATGGAACAGGCCAGTCCGCTAAGATACCAGGACTGTCCCCTCTCCATGTGGCGTACAAACTGCTCCCTCCTGCCTCCTTCTAAGTGCACTCACACCCCCTCCCTCGCCTGTCCCCCCACCCCAGGCAGGGTGATTCCCTCCCGGAGTCACAGTTTGTCCTGTATCATCCTATCAATCTCAACTGCAGCACGTCTCACATGCGGACTGTTTGCTGCACGTGTCCACATGTCTTCCTTTCTCATTCCAGAGCTCTTCAGGGACAGGTGGGATGACCTCACCCGCCAGCATACAGCTGGCACTCAGTGAATGAATCCCAACACCCAGAGTTGTTTATTGCTACCTAATCACTTAGAAATTGAGGCGTGAAAGGCTG